TCAAGCTTTCATTATCTCGTTCTGGTCAAAGTCCTCAGTCCCTGAATCAGTAGAACCATCATCCTCCTCCATCTCATTCTCTGAATCCTCCCCCACCTCAGAGTGGTCAAGGTTTCGCTTTTGTCCTACAGTAGGCGTCTTCAATAAACAGTCCTTGAAAGATAAAGGAGTAGCATGACTTTGAGGCGGAACAAGTTCAGGATCAGTGGAAACCCCGTCCTCCCTGAATCTGACCTTTTTGGTCAACAATCATCCAGTGGTGGCGGGTGATCATGGGTCTCGAGATTACCCTCGAAAGAAGACGAGAGAGCCATAATATGAAATTCAAAGGATAATTACTACTGGGGTTATTAAAAGTTCTAGTTAACTTTTTTTGAGTGTGCTATTTTAACTTTGATTAAAACCTCAAGTTACTTGCCTATGCTAGAAGTTTAGACTTGATAAGTAGTCACTCTATAAATGTGCCATTTTTTAGGACCTCCGTAGTCCCATCTTTGCCTGAAATTGTGGATGGAAAAGGACAAATCACTTATCAGGTAAGAATTATTATTTTCACTGGATCATCTCTTCTATTCCATAATTCTTTTCAAACTTCGAGATTTTAATTTTTCGCCAAATGCCAGATTGAGAAGAAAAATGTCGACCAGTTCATGGAGAACAGATTTGAAAAACGTAAGGAAGAAATACAAAGTAATATGAAGACTGCAGTCTTTCAAATTTCTTTGGTAGGCTTATCAGTATTTAGTTATTAATTCACATCTCTCTCTGTGTCTGTCTCTCTCTCTCTCTATAGAAAAAGCATGATAAACAAAATAAATGGCTGGAAGGCCAAGCATAACTTGTTAAGAAACCTAGTGGTCCTTATGGTGGTGAAGGATATGTAATTAATGCATCAACTAGTCTATGTAAAATGGATGATGCTATTGTTTTCTATTCTTCATCAAGTAGTCTATGTAATAACGATGATGCAATTGTTTTCTTTCTGTTTTAATTATTTTGCTATAATTTTTGAATTCCTTTATTTTCTCTTTTCTGGTTTACTGTTCAGACTCTTGTAGAAATTTGTTCAGTATAGCTCTCTACATACTCAACGAATATAGGATTATCAGATATCATTTTTGTTGAGATGTGATACAAAGGTTGATCGGGTTTTGAGGAGTTTGTTAGTAGTTTCCGAAAACTTGTGAATTTGTTTTTTGATCAATTTTTTAAGTAGGATCTGTTGCTAATAAATCTCTGATAGGTTTATTGGATTTTCAAGATTTTTTATTTTTAGTTACAGTTGAAGCCTATAGATGTAGGCACATCATAGCTGTTTTTGATGTGGCTAGTCAAGAAGTAATAAAGCATCTGCAGCTTTAATCTCATTTTCTCTTCCTGCTATCTTTTTTTAATATCTTTTCCCAACAAATTTCACATCAGAGCCAGGTTGGTCCATTTGGACTATTGAGTGAAAAGTAAGGGTTGAGTCCATTGGGTACTGAGTGAATACTTCTTTTGGGTACTAAAGGGAAACACGAGAGTGAGTGTTTTTTTTACGAAAATATTAGTAGCTGGTTTTTCTTCCTCTACACCACTCAAACCAATTTTCAATGGTGAGAAATATGATTGGTGGAGCATCAAGGTGAAGACCTTGCTTAGATCGCAGGAGCTATGGGACTTAGTGGAGTATGGATTTGTTGATTTACTAGAACCCATAGCAGAAGAAGAGGAAAGGCTGAGAGAAACTAAGAAGAAAGATGCCAAAGCTCTATTCATCCTTCAACAAGTAGTTCATGAGATGATTTTTTCACAAATTGCAGCAACAACCACATCAAAGCAAGCATGGTCAATTCTGCAGAAGGAGTTTCAAGGAGATTCAAAGGTCATAACGGTGAGATTGCAATCTTTGAGACGTGATTTTGAAACTTTGCTTCATGATAAATGGTGAATCTATTGCTGATTTTTTGTCAAGAGCAATGGCAATAGTCAATCAAATGCGTGCGGTGAGCAAATTTCAGATGAGACAATTGTTGCAAAGGTGTTGAGAAGTTCAACTCCAACGTTTGACCATGTGGTGGCTGCTATCGAAGAAGCTAAGGATCTGTCTGTACTCTCTGTTGATGAACTAATGGGCTCTCTTCAAGCTCACAAGTCAAGAATTAAGATCTTTAGAAAAGAACGAAGAAAAGGCACTTTAAGTGAAGGAGACAGCCACCAACCAAGGGGAAAATGTTCGTTCAACAAGTAGAGGTAGAGGACGAGGATTTTGCGGTAGTTGTGGTCATGGTAACAGTAGAGGTAGAGGGAGAAATGATGAACAAAGGTAGTTCAATGAGTAAAGTAACATGAGGAATGGCATTCAATGTTACCATTGCAAAGGATATAGGCATATAAAAGCTGATTGATGGTATAAAGATCAACAAATGAACTTTGCAGCAGAAAATGAAGAAGAAGAAGAACAAAAGGTAGTTTTCAAAATGAGTAAAGTAACATGAGGAAAATGGGCAAAAATTCAATGTACCATTGCAAAAGGATTATATGGCATAATAAAAGCTGATTGGATGGTAATAAAGAGATCAACAATGAACTTGCAGCGGCATTCAATGTTACCATTGCAAAGGATATAGGCATATAAAAGCTGATTGATGGTATAAAGATCAACAAATGAACTTTGCAGCAGAAAATGAAGAAGAAGAAGAAGAAGAATGGCTTTTTATGGCTTATATTGATACTAACCCGAAACCAAGTGATTTGTAGTTCACTGATAGTGGCTGCTCGATTCATATGACAGCCGCCAAATCTTTATTCCAGGAGCTTGATGAGATGCAAAGAATAAAGGTGCACCTTGGCCATACAAAGGAGATGCAAGTTGAAGGAAAAAGCACGGTGAAATTTGAAACTAGTCATGGTAAGGCCTGATTTAGGATACAATTTATTGAGTGTTGGACAATTGACGGTGAAGGGCATTCTATTCTATTTGATGACAACACATATGTCATTACAAATAAGAAATCAGGCAAGAGAGTTCGAATTCCCATGACTTCAAATAAGATGTTTCCATTGGATGTTTCTAACATGGAGAACTTTGCTCTTACTGCTAGTGCAAAAGATGACTCGACGCTATGGCATTTGAGATATGGGCATCTTCATATGAAGGGCCTGAAGTTACTCAGTGATAAAGGTATGGTTTTTGGGTTACCAAAAATTGATTCAATTAATTTATTTGAAGGATGCATTTGTGGCAAGCAAACTAGGAAGTCTTTTGCTATTGGAAAAGCTTGGAGAACTTCAAATTGTCTAGAACTAATTCGCTGATTTATGTGGGCCAGTGCAAACTGAGTCCTTGGGTGGGAGTCATTATTTCTTACTATTTACTGATGACTACAGTCACATGAGCTGGGTTTACTTTCTAAAACACAAGTCAAAAACTTTTGAGAAGTTCCAGAGTTTTAAAGCTATATGGTGGAGAACCAAAATGGCTGCCACATCAAAGTTCTTCGTGCAGATAGAGGTGGAGAGTTCGTATCTAAAGAATTCAATCTGTTTTGTGAAGAAAATGGCATCCAAAGGGAGTTAACAGCTCCTTACACTCCAGAACAAAACGACATCGCTGAACAAAAAAATCAAACTGTTGTGGAGATGGCAAGAAGCATATTACAAGCAAGGAGACTTTCAAACCAATTTTGGGCAGAAGCTATAGCAACATCTGTCTATTTATTAAATCTCTCTCCAACAAAGACTGTCATGAATCTAACTCCTTATGAAGCATGGCATGGAAGGAAACCATTTGCAATTCATTTACGAGTCTTTGGGTGTGTTGCTTATGCTTTGATAAATTCTCAAATTCGTCAAAAGCTTGATGAAAAATCGAAAAAATGCATTTTCATTGGTTATTGTAATCAATCAAAAGCATATAAATTGTATAACCCTCTTAATGAAAAGATTGCAGTTAAAAGGGATGTAATATTTGATGAAAATGTAAGTTGGGATTGGAGTACAGAGCAGGAGCAGCAAGAGATTCCAATTGAAGTTTCTCCAGATGAAAAAACAAGAGTCAACTCCTGTGCACCTACTAGTGCCTCTACAGCAACACAACTGTGCCACCTACTATGCCCTTCTACAGCAAGCACAAAAATTTGTCAAAACATTCGTCAACTTCAGCATCACCAAAACAATCAACTCTTCCTCTTGAAGAATCTTTCAAATGAAGAAACAATACCGCCAAGGGAGTATAAATCTATGGGCCGACCATAGTATATGCAATCCTGTCAATTTGCTCTTACTATTTCAGACCCTATTGTTATGAAAGAAGCGCTGGAAAAAAGAAGAAGTGGGCAGAAACATGGGTGGAAGAAGATTGCAAAAGCAATTGAGAAGAATGGAACATGATAGCTGGTTACTTATTATCGAAGTGGCAAAAAATGTATTAGTTGAAGTGGGTGTTTTCAAGATAAAATTTGCCAGCAGGAGATGGGAAGCAATACAGAGGTAACAAAGCTCGTCTTATAGCAAAAAGGGTAATTGCGGCACAATAAGGTGTGGATTTCAAAGAAACTTCTCTCCAGTAGGATGCAAGCAATTGAGAAGAATGGAACATGATAGATGGTTGACTTATCGAATGGCAAAAATGTAATTAAGTTGAAGTGGGTGTTCAAGATAAAATTTGCAGCAGATGGAAGCATACAGAGGTACAAAGCTCGTCTTATAGCAAAAGGGTATGCGCAACAATAAGGTGTGGATTTCAAAGAAACTTTCTCTCCAGTAGCTCGCTTTGAAATTGTAAGAACTGTTCTAGCATTAGTAGCAAAATTGCGGTGGCCTGTTTATCAATTTGACGTCAAGTCAACGTTCCTCAATGGAGATTTACAAGAAGAGGTCTACGTGGCACAGCCAGATGGATTCATAAAGAAACGCAAAGAAATAAAGGTATACAAGCTGAAAAGGCACTGTAAGGGTTAAAGAAAGCCCCTCGAGCTTGGTATAGAAAGATTAATGGATATTTTCAGGAAAAAGGATATATGAGAAGTGAGAATGAGCCCACTTTGTATGTGAAGAAGGAAGGTAAAAGTGATTTCATCATTATCTGCCTTTATGTTGATGATATCATTTATACTAGCTCTTCTAATTCTCTTATGGATAAATTTAAGTCTCAAATAATGAGTGAATTTGAGATGTCAGATATGGGTTTATTGCACTATTTTCTTGGTCTTGAAGTATATCAAGTTGAAGATGGGATCTTTATTTTGCAAAGGAAATGTGCTAAAGACATTATAAGTAAATTTGGCATGCTTAGTTATAAGCCTGCAGCCACACCCATGAATATTAATGAGAAATTACAACATGAAGATGAAGCAGAAATGGCATATGCTAGAAGGTTTAGAAGCTCAGTTGGCGGATTGATTTACTTGATGCACACACGACCCGACATTGCATTTCCAGTTGATGTTATTTCCAAGTTTATGCAACAACCTTCAAAGGTTCATTATGAAGCAAGAAAACGAGTCTTGCGTTATGTTGCTGGAACTATGGAGTATGGAATTTGGTATTCTAAATCTTCTAATTTCAAATTATATGGATTCACAGATAGCGATTGGACAGGATTATTAGATGATAGACAAATCATTTCAGCAAATGTTTTCACTCTAGGATCAGGAGTGATCACTTGGAGCTCAAAGAAGCAAGCAACAGTAGCGCTATCAACCTCAGAAGCAAAATATATTATAGCAACTTCAGCAGCGTGTCAAGCCATTTGGCTAAGAAAAGTGTTAGCTGATCTTCAACAAGAGCAAAAAGGAGCGATAAAGATATTTTCTAATAACAAAGCAATTATCTCCATGACAAAGAACCCAACATTTCACAGCAGAATAAAGCATGTTGAACTTCGGCATCATTATATTCATGACCTTGTTGCAAGGAAGAAATTGTCTTGAAGTATTGTAACACCAATGCACAGCTAGTGGACATACTTACCAAGGCTCTATCAAAAGAAAAGTTATGTTACTTCAGAAGATTACTTGGCATTTGCAACTTTGAATCAAGGGGGAGTGTTGAGATGTGATTTAAAGGTTGACTGAGTTTTGAGGAGTTTGTTAGTAGTCTTCGAAAACTTGTGAATTTATTTTTTGGTCAATTTCGTAAGTAGGATCTGTTGCTAATAAATCTCTGATAGGCTTAGTGAATTTTCGAGATTTTTTATTTTTAGTTACAGTGTAAGCCTATATATATAGGCACATCATAGCTATTTTTGATGTGGTTAGTGAAGAAGTAATAAAGCATCTGCGGCTTTAATCTCATTTTCTCTTCCTACTATTTTTTTTTTTTAATATCTTTTCCCAACAATTTTTGTCTTCAATACCTTTATATCTTTTATGATATCAAAGCGTATCTAGAACTCTTGCAAATAACTTGCAGTGGCGTGAACCATGGTGCCCAATAAGAAACCAACAACAACAACCTTCTGACACTATAATAAAGTGCCAGTTTTGTAATTGACCTAGTCACTCAGCAAAATCTTTTTGCTCCCACTCTCATAATCACCTGCGAGCATGTGCAAGCTTTGTTGGTCAATTATTTCAACAACAACAACCATAGATTATTGACACTGGAGCCACTCATCCTATAACCTCTAATGCTTAAGATCTGACCACTATTCATGACTATGACAATCCAAAATAGATCTCAATGAGCAATGGTAATACCATTCTAATTTCTCACACTGGTAACACTAAATTATGTATATCAAAGCATCACTTTAAATTAGTCAATGCTCTATGTTCCCTTTCCATTAAAAATAAACTTATTTATGACTCTAAATTTTGTTAAGATAATAAAACATCTATTGAATTCCTTCCTTGCCATTATTTTGTGAAGGATCTGATACGAGGGCACCTCTGGTTCGCAACAGAGTAAAGATGGGCTTTATGAGTGGCCACTAACCAGCATTAGTGGACATTCTCAATGCAATGTGGTCATTTCGCTCCAATTGTGCATCAAAGTTTAGGACATTCGAATCTTGGCATTTTAAAAATGCTTTTGCATAAGTTTTATATTCCATTTTGTCATTCAAAAACCATTTTGGTTCGTAATTCTTGTTGTTCCAATTAGATGCGCAAGTTGTCTTTTTCTGACAAAGTGACTGGCCATTAAAAATAATTTACAGCGATTTATGGGGTTCGTCCTTTATTTTATCAATTGACAAAAAATGCTTCTATATTTTATTTGTTTATCATTTTTCAGAATATGTGGTTGGACACATTAAAATCCAAACAACGGGTTTTAGAGGTTTTCAAAGCCTTATACACCTATCTAAAAACACATGGATTTGAACATTTAATTTCACCTCCTTATACACCACAGCATGTGGCTTTAGTTGAACATTGGCATCGAAATGTTATTGGAACTACCAAAACACTATTACATTAAGCCTGTCTACCCTCAAATTTTTGGAGCTTTTCCCACCAAGTTATTTATCTTATAAATAGACCGAGCACACCAAATTTAAAACATCACTCCCCTTATGAAATTTTGTTTAAGGAAGATCCAAATATAATTCTATAAAAATATTTGGGTCTTTATGTTATCCCTCGGTTAGACCGTATGCTAAAAACAAGCTAGAACCTTTTTTATATCCACATCTTTATTTAAGATATTTTCTAACGAACATCGCTAGCACTAGTGTTTTGATCTTATAAATTCAAGAATATATTTATCATGAGATGTGCTATTTTTTTAAGAAAATTATCCCTTTCAAAATATATTTTCAAAATAAATAGATAATAATCACAATATCTCGTGGAAATAGAGTGAATTATAAATACTTTTTTAAAGATAAAAAGAATTTCTTTAGGACAAAATAAATTCAATGTAAATAAGGTGATGTTATGTATAGAACTATTTTTGGAATTTTTTCAATTTCGAAGCACATTAGGCCAGCAACTAAATCATAATTCAGTAATGGAAAAATCTATTTTTTCTCATAATAATATCAAAGAAATAGCAACAGTAAAAAAAGTTTTTGAAAAAATTTTAAGCTTCACACTTGCAGAAAAATTGCTTATGTTTCATCAGTTAAAAAATGAATTCTTATTATGTATCTTGATTTATATTCTGGTGGTGTAGTATTCATTGCAACTATCACTATCTTGTAATCTCTGATCTCATCAGTTGCCACAACTATGTCATGAGTTAATAATCTTTTGACTTGAAATAGCCTATGGTCCTTTGCTAAAATCCATTTAGGCTATTCTATTCTATCTTCTTCTTCAAACTTCCTTTCTGATGATGAATGTTGTTCCTTATTATTAGCAATATCTATATACTTAATCAAGGCCAAGGCATTACTACACAACCGTTACACATGTCTTTCGTCGACTGAAAATCGTAGCAGGACCTATAAATATAACAAAAAAACCAATCAATGGTATAAAAATAAAAAAGAAATTATATAATGAGAAAATCAATGATCAATAGTATAAATTAGAATATGAGATTATTATGAGAGTCTAAAACGAACCATTTTATCCACTCTATCAAGAGAGAAACCTCCAATACAAGTTTGTTGATTAGTCATTATAGCATTTAATAATACATTGAACTCATCAGCATATTCTGCTTTGGATGTTTTTAAATATGGATAGCGACAAAGCTTCTTCATGACCTCTTTAATATGGACTAAAGTTAAATTTAGTAATTTTAAACAATTGCCAAGAGCAGTGTACATTGAATTTCTTTTGTCGTAAAGAAATTCTTTTCATCTTTAAAAAGTATTTTAACTTACTCTTTCACTACATCAAATGATAGACCTATTACATCTTTTGTGCTATTTATCTTAGCATCAGTAAATTTGAAATGGTGGAAAAGCAAATGTCAGGATACAGCGTTAGCTTTTTTACTTAGAATCCGTTTATAGAAAGTTTTATTCTGATTAAATTACAATCCATATAAGTGTTAATCGCTTCATTCTTTTTCTCCTTCACTTTTCCCCCACTTATTTATAGAAATCGTTTCTGAATTATATGTTGCCTCTGGATGTTCTACTTTTTGGGCCTAACAGAGTATGCATATCTACTTATCAATTGTCCAATTTCATTTAATAAATGTTGAAACAAACATCCTCTTCAGTTATATTTAGAGTATACTGGCTCGAGTAGATTTTTTTTCCTAAGATTTTTATTTGTATAGAATTTCAAGATCTCTAAGTATGGGGTATTCAATACCATTCCTTTCTTCGTTTTTGCCTTACATGTGTTCTATTTTGGTTGCTACCAGAGCTACTGTAATTTCCTGAAGAGATACGAACTTTTAGGTTGCCACCGGGAATTTGCCCTTTAGTTTGCATATCCATTGATTCTTAAAATGATATAGTAAATTGCAACTTTACTTTGTGTTTCTAAGCATGCATTATGTTCCTAATTAGCTTTACATTATGTTCCTCAATTAATTGCAACAAAATCAAGGTTTTCATGTTCATACTCTTTTAAATATCTTTCTTTCATTGTCACTTTAATTCTATAGTGATTTTTTGATATTAAATTTTGACATTTTACAGAATGTAATTCTTACATACAGTGTTGATAACTCATCCGTTCACAAATCTATGATCCTCGAGCTTGACTTTTTCTATCTATAACTTGAGATCTAGCCCAAATTATAATAGGTTCATATATGTGGTTGCTTAGTAACCAAAAAAGTTTGCGAGTTATTTTGCTTCCAAAATTTGAAGGATATGTCTTTAAGAATTTTAAATCTTTTATTACCAGTTAAATCAAACTTGTAGCTCTTCAATAACTTTTAAGATTGCAATTATATTAAAATAGATGTATACTAACTTAAGATGTCTTGTTTACATTTCATGCTGATTATTATGTACATCTAAAACACTTAATTATTAAGATTTGATTCAAAATTAATTTAGTGGAGCCTTTAGTTATTGATTTAGTTCCTGGATTTATGTTACTGTTAATAATGGCAAATAAAAGATTATCTGCTGTAGATTAGTTGCAAATTTTTAGGCTATTTATTTTCTGTTCAGTTGTTATGTAATGCCTATAAAAGGCTTTGTTTTCTTCTTCATTTAATATGAAAATATACATAGCTCCACTTTCTCTTCTGTCTTTTTGGTTTCTTAATTAACCATATTTTGGTATCAGAGCCATTATTTGGGTAGGTAGAGGAGAGAATAAAAAAGTGAGTGGGGGAAAGAAGAGTGGTTCGCGCAAACCTTTCAAATGGCAGTAAATGGCACTGCTACTTCAACCCAATCTTTAATTCCTTTCTTCAAGGGTAAGAGTTATGAATTTTGGGCCATAAAAATGCAAACTATGTTTATTTTGCAAGAATTGTGGGAGCTAGTTGAGAATGGGTATAAAGACCCAGATGATGAGCAAAAGCTTAGAGAAAACAAAAAGAAGGATGCAAAGGCTCTGTTCTTCCTTCAACAAGCTGTATTGGATGTGATTTTCTCTCATATTTCAGTAGCAGCCACCTCTAAGGAAGCATGGCAGATTCTGAAAAATGAATTTCAAGGCTGCTCAAAGGTAATCACTATAAAACTTCAATCTCTTCGTATAACATTTAAAACTCTTCAAATGGGTGATTCTGAATCTGTTCAAGCATATTTATCAAGGGCTTCTAAAATTATCTCTCAAATGAGAGCATATGGTGAAAAAATTACTGATGAGACTATGGTTTTAAAATTATTGAGAAGTTTAACTCCTAGATTTTCCAAAGGTTATAATTAACCTCAACCCTTTCTGTTTTTGGCAGAGTACAGAAACTCAATTCAAAACATTAGAATCTCTCTCACGGAGAAGGTTGCTTGATAACCTCTTTAATCCTTTCGTATAACAATTAAAACTCTTCAAATGGGTGATTTTCTTGAATCTGTTCAAAGCATATTTAAATCAAGGGCTTTCTTAAAATTAATCTCTCA